TAGTTAGCGTTAGCATTTTTCCCATTGAAATGAATGAGCGGTCCCCATAAGGACATGTTTACCCTACATGTGTTGGTGTGTGTGTGTGTGTGTGTGTGTGTGTTGGTGTGTGTGTTTTCCTGTATGTACATCATTCCATCATCTTTCAGATTTATGACTGATACTGTCCATGCTGCCAGTTTCCCCTCCTCCTCTGCTGATTTATTGGTTTATCGGGTTGTTTTAAGCAGCGCTGAGTAGCTACAGTCCGTCCTTTAGCCACTGTACCTCCTGCAGCCTAAATTCCCATTTCAGCTCCATGAACAAGGACCCGAATCCAAAATAAATCCGGAAAGTCCAAATGGAGTAGCAGCTTTTCACAGGGCACAAGGACACAGCACAGGGACTGTACCACTCTGCAAGTGAGCAGGGATGCAGTGACTGCGCCTGCATGACATCGCCGCATGCAGACGGCCGCACCATGTACCGGTATCTGTGTATATGTGAGAGAGGATTTTCTCAGCAGAAAGTTATCTGATCTGAACCAAAGCCTTAGATTCATACCCTGAGATCACAGATGCATAGTTCATGTAGTGTCGGTACCCATACTAAGAGTTCCCCACTTTGGGGGAGGGGGGAGGGAATAACTAAGATGTAATTATATTTACTTAATTACATTTCAGTTCAGTGAACAAAGCAGAACATCTAGGTCTCTAAAACAGCCTAAAGCCAGGATTACATGAAGGACAGTGATGTTCCCATTAACTGGAGATTTGAGAATTTGTGTTAACAATGCTGCAACAACAATATGGTTTTGCACGATTTCACTCTGGTCCTAGTCCAAAAATGGTAAGATTTCAGTAAGTGAATGTCAGTCACCTTTTTGTTAAACTCATCATAGTATCACTTTAGTGCTGTTTATGATCAGCGAAACATGGATTTTGTCCCAATGACTCTCTTCGTTGTTATTTTTCAAGCCACAACTGGCAAAGTATTATCTGAAGAACCAATCCCCTCCACAGACACACACACACACACACACACACTTGTATTCACATCTTTGTGGGGACTCTCCATTCATTTGTATGGGAAAAACTCTAATCCCAACAATGACAACCTTAACCCCTACCCAGCCCTGACCTTAACTATAAGTAACCAAATAAAATACAAGACTTTTGGCATTTTTAGTTCTTTGATTGCAGTCTCAGATTTTTATAAAATGGCATTTCCCCTTTTGAGGACTGAAAAAAATGGTCCCAGCAATATCAAAATAACAGGTTTTTTATATGTAATATATACATACCCCCCCCACACACACACACACAAACTCTAACTCATCCTCCTGGCTCTCATAGGTTAACTAAAGGTCTAGGTCTGAGTGTTGTCATTCATTAATAACAGCAGACAATAGAAACAAAAACAAATCCATCCATCCATCCAACCATTTTCACGCCGCTCTTCCTGTCCAGGGTGGCAGGGGGCAGGAGCCTTTGCTATGCAGCAAAAGGCATTAGCCTGAACTTCCTAGACAGGATGCCACTAAAACACAGAAGACAAACATATGAAACACAAAACGATGACAGACATCCTTCCCACCTCATTGTCTAATTGTATAAATGAATGAAAACATTAGCTGCGTTCCAGCAGTGGCTGTCACTCAATTGTCCAATTACTGGGGGCCAAATTCACGTCATGGGGCTCCCAATGCATACAGCAGCGTGAAACACTCACTGCTATTTCTTACATCTTTCCAAACGTCATTCTGATCCGTATTAACCAAGAAAGACTGATAGGCAGCGCAGGCTTAAACTTGTTTTGGGCTCCATGTGTTTGTGTTATTAGTCAGCTTTAATCAGCTTGACTGGGGGGCCCCGTCATCCGAATCCAGAAAAAGAGGAGCCGCCCCTCCCCTGCCCGCCCCACCAGGGCGACTACAACAAAGAGTCAGCCTGTGACAGCTGGCCAATGGGAATGTAAATAGAGGCCCAGCATGGCAGCTGCAGGCCCCCGGTGCGTCTGACATCCCCGCCGCCTCGTAAACACTGGCGCTCTCGGGACACCCCCCTTTTCTGAGGGCTGCCACAAGCAGCGAGGCTGAAACATAAACAGGGACGCTGGCAGCCTCTGGGAGCACAGGGACCGGGGAACGCGAGCCAGGACTCGGGGCAGAAACCGCGAAACCAGGTTTGACACAAAGTAAACCATTAGCGGTCACAGAGGGAGCACCGTGCTGGGGTCAGAGACTGCAGTCAGGCGGGAAGCCAGGGGGAGGCGGGGCCAAAGCTGCAGGACGTTGTGTGTGTGTGCGGGTCATGTATAGATTACATCGTGGGGACTAAATGTCCCCACAATGTGATAAAAACCTGTTATTTTGACAAAAAATGGTCCCCACAAGCATAAGCACAGTTTTATAAAAATCTGTGACTGCAATCAAAATCTAAATCAAAATCTAAAAACGACAAAAGACCTATATTTTGTTTGGTTGCTTATGGTTATAGTTGGGGCTGGGTAGGGGTTAAGGTTGCCATTGCTGGGATTATGGTTTTGACCATAGAAATGAATGGACGGTCCCCACAAAGTTATGCATGCAAACGTGTGTGTGCGTGTGTTTGGGAGTAGCGGGGGAGGCAGGGGGCTGCGGTATCGAGTGTTGTCCCAGATTTCGGAGGAGAAAGTGGACACTTTATCAGATACCACAGAGAAAACAAACCCGAAGCAGCCAAAGCAGTGACATGGGAGATGCTTGTTAGGTCAATGTTCCCAAAGCGCCTTGGGGCAGCGAAGCCCGGGGCGGCCATACTGATGGAGACTCTGTTTATTTGACTTTGACCAGGAGTTAGAACAGGAAGGGGCTCAGCAAGCTGACTCGGCTCCCTAACCCTGTCTGTGAAGCAGCACCATCACATTACATTGTTGATTAATACTCATCCAATGCTAAACTGGCACCTTCTGAGTTACTATCGGCAACTGCAGCCTCCCATTTACAGCTGGATAGAGTTTATTGGAAACTTGGTGCCTTAGTCAACATCATAAACCTTCCGGGGACCAGGAACCAGAGGATTTCATGTGGCAAATACCAACACGGTGCTATGGGCTCTTCCTGTAGTTTCTTCTTTTCGATCGTGCTCACTGGTCCAAAATGTGACGGAACTGCTGGGATGGGATGAGGTGAATTTGAGATTGGATGTGTTCAGGCTGATACGTGGACAGGCATCCGTCATACATCCCAGTGCTGGACCTGTGGACAGTCAGGGGCCGTCGTCAGTGGATCAAGTTACCAAGGAGCCCAAGTAGCTAAGGGAGATACGGAAAAACACCCTCCTAGACGTGACATCGCGCTATCATGTGTGTGAGACTCCTTCATAAGATCAGGCTGAGGTAAAATGTCTCCATGGCCAAACTGAGAAAGTGAGAAATATTATTGTTCTTTGACACATCCTTACACACGTGTACAATGAGGTGACCACTTATCAGAGACATAATCATATAATGTTTATTAATGTATATTCAATTTAAACAAAAATCTTGAGTAATTTTTTCTTGAACAACACGCAACATCGATACTCATATATGCCAGCATTTTAATAAAAATGAAACGGCAACATTAAATAGGATGATGCTCTACCAAGATAATTAATACCATATTTGCAGTCATACAGAAGCAGGACCTTCCATTGACTTTTACAGCAACAGAAGGTGCTTTCTGACCTAACAGCAACTGGCATCCTTACAGCCTAAACGCTTAGGGTGTTTTCTAGGTGAGACTTACTTAGTCGCTCAGACCATGAAGCTCCGAGTAACTGACCTCTGGTGTCTCTTTCAGGAGTGCACTGGATACGAGCGCTCTTAGCATGACAGAGTCCTGACAGGCTCAGCCCCATAAAGAACACCCCCCGCCCCCCACCAGACCACTACTCACAGCTATTTTTTGCACTCTACTTGCCCGCTCGCTCACTGACTTGCCCCAGGGGAAATACATTAATGGGCCCTTGCCCCTCCCCTCCTGCTCATGATTGACATAATCAGCTTCCTAGCCACCGCCCCAACAATAAAAACGTGTCTTGAGCTTTTCCAACCCATGGGGCGATTACAAACCACGATAGACAGGACTATAGATTATCCTGCTCATGATCAGATACATCTGCCGCTATATTACTGGATAGTATCAGTATCATACACCAGAAGAGGTGGCATTCCACCTAAAATATAACTAAATGCTACATTTCAAACATCATCTTTGTTTCCTAGGCTAATATTTCAAGCCAGGTCAATGCTGCACTTTCATGTTTTACAGTTACAGCTGCGTAAAATTCTCGGTTCATTTAAGTCTCCCTTAGATACTGCCAATTAAAATGATGCTGTACATGATAGATGAGGTGCAGGACTGATGATCTCAGACTAAGTCACCATCTGGATCACACTACTCTTTCATACATGTGCTAAGGTCGCTGTGGTCTTCAATGTCTTCACTTTCACTGCGGTCTTGAATCTGTTCGGTAACTTGATTCTGGCTCTTTTGTGTTCGCCATCTTCTCTGTGACCATCATTGGCCATCTTCATAGCCATTCATATATCCACTCACTTTGCATAATTACCATAAAAAGCATGTGTATATTCATGACATGTCTGTAATTTAAGCCACACGTGACTGGATCACTTTTCAATAGATTCACTAATACCGGATCCTCAGTGATACTGTTTACTGGACATCCATCCTGGGAGTTCCTCTGCCTCATGCCGGATGTTGCCTGGGACACCATCCAGGCTTCCCCACAGCTCTGGCTGAGGTATTTGGTTGGGATATGGATGAATGGATGGATAAAGTAAATTACAACTTTTCTGTCAACGTCAGGATGGAAGTAGAGTAATAAGACAAGGTAACGCCACTGTTGAAACTGGCTGGTTTGATATGAGCTCATTTCGAAACAGAACCCCAAACGATATCTTACCCCTGGAAAACCAAACTTCTTTCAGTAGGAGAATAACCAATAAAACAACCACTTAATAATTCTCAGATCCGATCATTTGGACTCAAATTTATTTTAAAAAATAAGCCTGGCAAAATGACTTCAGTGGTCAGGAAATGAAATATATTGTGAATGACGGTGATGTGAAGCAGTGGTGAATCTGGCCTGCAGTGAGCTGATTGGATGCTGTCTGTCGTCCCCCGTGGCTGCGGACTGTCACATTTAGCACTGGCATAAGGTGTTGTGCCCCAAGCCAGGACAAATCATTCAGTGGCATTTTATTCTGCCAGTGTTACTAGTTGTTGGAGATATTCTGCACGGCCATTAGCAGACCAGCCTTGCCGGAACCTTCTAACATGCAGCCATGAATGGCAGATTATTTATGTCAAAAAACAACACACGTATACCTCAGGCAATACGAGCGTACCCCATGAATATTTACATTCAGAAGCCTTTATATTACTGTGGTAATCCACTGTATAAATCAGTGGATATAGTCCAAAAGAGCTATATAAATACTGGAGAACATTTGCTGGTCCCCTGAGTGAACCAGAGGCTGGGAGATATTTTACTGATAGCTTTAGTGCTTTGGAAACATGCACCAGACTTGGCCTGTGTGACAGAAACCAGAGTCCACTAGGGTTAGGTCACAAAGTGTTACCAGATCTTGGCTCTGGGATGCTAAGGTAGAGCCCATTCCACACCAGGTCATCAACATCTAGAGCCTGCACAGACCAGAGGTGTGATTGGTGTCTGACTGTAAAATTGGCCCAGTACTACTTAACTTCCCATGCACAAGCTTCTGGATCAACCTACATAAGCTTCTGGGCCACAGGCTCCATAAGCACCAGCCCCAAGGATCACAAACTGTGTTTTGTTCCACCGTTAATGGTTTCTTTTGGGTTATTGTTTCAGGTCAACTAACCTGTTTCTTTTGGCTGTAAATCAAGTGCTAACTGAAAGGTATTCTGACACTGGCAGGGCCTCAGCGCCTAAGGACAGGAGCCGGCCCTGCTGCTCTGCTCCCATGGTCGCTCCTGAGCCCGGTCATACTTCAAACAAGTCCAATGACGGGATCTCGCTCGACTTGCAGGAGTCTGGGGTTTGTGCCTTGGCGTCCAGTGATGTCTTGCACTCCTTTAGCCTGAGGGAGAAGGAGAAGAAACAAAAACAAACAAAAATAACAGCCAGTGACTCAATGACAGAGTAGAAGTGTCCACAGCTCTGAGTATCAAGGCCCACGAAGATAAGAAAATGAAGGGGAGAGGAGAAGGTCACTAGGGCAAGCAAAGCTCTGCGCTTGTGTTTATTTTATGCGCTTTGGGTTTCCTGACTGCTCCCAAAGCCTGACACTGCTGTCCATCTTACACATGAGGCTGCGATTTATGTGCCAGCAACTGGATACTTGTTACCATGTCGTCCGTCCATGCCTCTTTTTGGTGTGTTACCAATAAACATGGCCGTAGTTCGTGTTCTTGCACAGGCAACGAAATAAGGTCATTCACCAAACGCAGCAGCCCCCTGGCACTCCGGGGGCTGTGAATGGCGGAGTTTCGGCCAGCAGCTTAGCCGGAAGCGTCGGCCATCTATCAGCGATTAGACCATCAGTCAGTCTACGCATGGGGTGTGGGCTGTCAGGCAGGACAGAGGGCAGCTACATGCCACAGGACCACTGATAAGGCCTCTCAATCAGATCCCCGCACACTAGCGGGGGGAAGTACTGACAGCAGCCGACAGATAAACTAATAGCCAGGGGGGCAATTCCACCGGCGAAGGCCCCCTGATGGCAGGTCCCAGTATCTGAGAGAGGAACATAGCTGCCCACACCCTGAACGGGATCTTACATTTCCCAGCTCAGAGAAACACCATGGAGACATTACCCAGGCAAAACACGTCCTTTTACACAAATTGGGGGGGGCGGTATGCATGTAACAGCAGTGTGCGAGATCGAGTCCTGTTGTGCTTGGACAGCAGTGTGAGCCGACAACCAACTCAGTTTTATCCAAGGTCTGCATCTCCAAGTAGGGACAGAGCTAATTTCAAAAGTCTGCTGTACAACAAATTGGTTCCTAAATCACTTCCAAATGCAGATTTTTCTAAAGATCAAATATCTGCCCCAGATGTGAGACACAATAGAGGGAAAATATATTTATTATACTTATTCCCTATCTTCAAGTGCATTATAAATCTTTCTGAATAGTGCATGAACTGCATGTGAATTTTATCATGCGCCATTCGAGGACAGCTTCCCAGAAAGGGGTAACCCAGACTAATAAGCACTTAACTGGAGGTCCTGAATGATCGCAGAACCACACACAGGCTCCACAGAGATGGAGAAGAAAAATAGACATCACCATGGAGCTGTGGAATGAACGTTGCTGGGAGAAGCACTCCAAAGATACAAAACGTCATGTATATCAGCTGTATTAGTGGGTTTTATCAATATCAAAAAACTCAAGGAAAATTTCAAGGCTCATATAATCGTCTTGCTCGTTTTAAAATCATCATTTTCTTCTGCAGCTAAGAATGCTGTGTTTTCAGCCTCTACAGAGAACGTGCAGCTCTTCACTGCCAAAGAGTTTCCCACAGAAAGGTTAGGAGAAGAGATGAGCGATACGGTGGGAGCGAAAGGCTATCAGCAAGCTGTCCATTAAAGCGGCATTACTGATTAATGCCTGTCAGGCAGAAGATGGAGAAAGTCATCTTTGGCTCACTCCAGACTGAGTAATTACACGTGTGGAACCTAATGAATTAGTATTTAATTCACAAAATAGGCACTTACATATGTTGGCTGTTACAAATAGCTAATTGGAACTCTTTGTGTTGGCACACTGTCGATTTGGTCATCCTAAATAATAAATAAATAAATGTTAACTGAAGTTAGGCATTTTTGCAGACAAAATGCAGCTTTATCTTGGTTCAAGAGCTTTGCATAACTGGGAAAAAAATAGATTATATGTAGGGGCAACCAAATGAGCTTACTTCTTACTTAGGAGGTAAGTAAATGGGATTCTTCAGGAGAAGGTGATGGACTCACTAGTCTTTGGTGCTGAGAAGATCCAGTTTTGGTGGTTTGGGGGGCTCATAAGAAGGCCCCTGAAGGCTCATTCTGAATTTAAGCATGTCCCACTTTGGGGTAAGGGGGGAGGACCAAGGATATCATGACAGGCTTGGAACCACCTTGGCATCCAGCAGAGGGCGCTGCAGATATGCCACGCTGAGTGCCACCTGGGTAACCCTTCACATCTGGCTCTCACCCTCACCCTCGAATGGATCAGCAGGAAAAAGGAATGGAAGGATGTTTTATCTATCCATCTGCTAACCACTGCAGGGTCACTGGAGCCTATCCCAGGCCACACAGGGTACCAGGCAGGGCTACACCCTGGATGGGATGCCAGTCCATTGCAGGGCACACAGATCCATCGGCAATTTAGAGACACCGATTAGCCAAAGCGATATACCTGATGGAAATCCACACAGATTGGGAAGATCCTGCTAAATGTACAAACATATAGCAGGAGGGATTCAAATCCATAACCCATGTCACATGATAAGTGTTTTTATTATATGACCAGTAGTATTTATGATCAGTGGTATGTTAGTTTAAACACTGTAGGGGCGGTGAACCACAACACAACCTTAGATCTAATACATGGACCACCACGTCATTTACGCTATGATAAGAACCAAATAATTATAACAAGAATAATGCTGTGTAGGTAGTGATTTATGTTCCAAAGACTAAATAACATACAAAGAAGGCAAAGTAACACAAATAAATCTACAGAACAAATAAATATAGCTGTTTGGCTCTTATAGAAACATATGCCATGACCATCTTCAATAAATTTCCAACCAATGTCAAAATCTTATGCTAAGTTTAATGCTAAGTATTATACTAAGCCTGACTATCATGTGGCTGTAACAGATAACTCCTCATCTGATTTCTGTGAAGTTGAGGGTTTGGACAATGTACCGCCATACTTACATTTTAACTCTGCAAATAGGGCTGCCTTTGTATTCATCTTACCATGTTACCAGGACTGAATCAGACACAGAGAACTCTGTTCCTGGTGACGGACAGCGCATGCGAGGGGTGTTGTGGGAAGGTTCTACACTGAACAGAAAGGAAATGTATAAAGCTAAACTTCGATCCGGCCCTGCCAGAAACTGCCACACAGCTTACAGTCCACATGCCAAGTGTTACAAGAAACCCATATTAAAAAAATAAATCTCACTGCAGCAAAATGGGAGCATTTTTTCCAGATATACAATCTAGGGGTTGACAGTAACAATGGCGCTGGCTGGATAGAGAGAGCAGGCCTGACTCTATAAAAAAAAAAAAGAGCATGGCGTATCCCTGTAGGCTCGGAAGGTTGCCAGTTCAAATCCCAAGCCCTTAACCTCTAAACCTACTCTCACCTGTCTGTGTGTCTCATGGAGAGCAAGATGGGGTAGGTGACAACTACCCAAATTCCCCACAAGGATGAATAAAGTACACTATTTGCTGCTATATTATATATTAAAGTTATATATTATATATTTACTGCATACAAACCATATGTCAAGTCTATGGACAGGCTAATCCCACCTAGTTGTGCGCTAATTTAGCGAGAGACTTTTGCCCATTTGCACTTTCCAAGACTCTTGTCTGTAAGTAGCTGTCAACGCAGGAGTGGAATCAGGGCACCTCATACAGTAGCTCTCTCACTGCAGGGCTGAGGTCGTTTGTGTTTCTCCATTGCTTTAGTCAGCTTAGCCTGCAACTGGGTCTTGCGTAGTACAGATATGAATGGGAGCACTGGCCCAGGCCTGGCAATCTGGAGGTCCTGACAGCAGGCCACTGTGCTCCATCATGGGAGGAAATCACTACTGGCCTGTCCTTTGGCAGAATATCCCCGTACCACAGCACAAGGCATGACAGGGCAAGTTCAATCAGTCCTCGGTACCTAAAAAAATGCTAACATGACTAGCTTAAATGATGGGAGCTATTAATTCCCCAAGGAATGAGACTCATTAATCATAAGCATAGAAAATGTCGTTTTTTTTCCCATCACTGAGTGTGTGCTGGGGGTTTGCGACACCAAAGCTGTTAACACACGGCAGGACTTTCGCAGCAACCTTGGAACCTTCAAATGAGCCAAAGTAAAAGCCCTTGCTGTAGAAATTGGCAGTGGAATATGGCTGTGACCTTGGAACAACATGGCAAGCGTTTGAACCCCCACCATCACAAATCAACATGCTCTATAGCCAGCCCGGGAAGGGCGTGAGGTGGTTCTGTCGGCTGAGTTTTCTCTAGCTTGTCAAGTGGGGAGATGCGGGCCTGTGGCTCAGGCTTGCTCTGGGTAATTAGCCCCGTGGCAGTGACTGATAGCTCCGTGCCGGAAAGGAATGCCAGTTAGCCTATAGCCTGTGAGCTTCACGGTTCAGCTGAAGGTTCACCGACACGTTAGAGGGACGAGTTAGTCTGGGGCTGTGTGATCCGGGGCCTGAGGAACAGCTTAAGGTGATGATACACAGGGCAACTCTTTGAGCAATGTTGCGGGACAACCGCCAATCAGGTGAGACAAAGGACGACTCGTCTGGATCTGGATGATCGCAAAAGTTGCCCATTGCTGATCAAAGTTTTCCAAATTTGTTGTCCAGTATTATTGGGAAAGTGCCTCAGCAACGCTGGTCGGCAACACTACCCAACAAAGTTGCTTATAATGTTGCCCAGGTATCATCACCATTAGACCTTCAGCTGGGAACGCTTATACTGAGGATAGGGCACAAACTCACCCCAACTGCTACATTCCAGCTTCCCTTCCTGTTTGGAGATTTAGGCCCCTCCCCTTCACCACTGCAGCTGTGACAGGCCCGGAAACGGATTGAGCCCAGGCCTGGGGCATGACACTAAACTGTGTTGCATTCTATTTGTTGATTACTATTGATTTTCTGTGATACTTCATTTAAAAATCAATGGCCCGTGGGAAGAGAATCAGGCCGGCTCTACACGCACTTTCGCATGCTATTGTTCACCGGGAAACACTGTGGCTTTGGCGGCACTCTGGCAGCCAATTAGCGGAAAAGCTCTTAACAGGTGGATGCGCGGCACCGCGATCGATCCCCGGCGCCCCTGCCCAATCACAGAGAGTGGCCGTA